GATGATGATGAATCTATAAATGTAACTCATACATTGCCTTTCAAAGTAATAGGGGTTGCCCATTCCCACACTACACAAAATCACTTAGAGAGATGTTTTGAAAAACTATCACAACAGCCTGATAGTGTACCAGTGAGAATACAGCCAGAGCCAGACAACGAAATAGATAAAAATGCAATTTCTGTACAGGTTAACTATGCAAATGAATGGCWTCATGTTGGTTACATTGCTYCAGAACTTACCACGTATGTTCACAAGGTTTTAGAGTCAAATCTTCTTGTGGAATGTAGGATACAACACATCAGGTTCAGGGTGAATTTTTATCGACCAGGATTTTACATGAAACTTCTGCTTACAAGGCAAGGGGAGTGGGAGCCATTAGTTYTACATAAAAGCAAAAGTGTCCGCTGAACAATTTCACTGTTTTACTGCATTGGTTTGTTTCAAGAGTTCTTTTCACCTGACCACAAAATATTGGCGAGACTTTGTTCTTTACTAACCAATACTACCTATTGTAGTCATTTTCAATATAAGGTCAAATGAGAGGAACTCTAGATATATAGGTAACTTATTAACTTTTTTTTAAATTTTAGTACAGAATTGAGAACTTCATAAAAATGATGAAAATATTTAATAGCTAAGCAAAAGTTAAAGTTAAAAACTGCTAAAATTCCTGTTGCTAATTTTTCAATGGATGAATGTACTATATTACATTTTTTGAGTTTCAGTTCAAAGTTTTACTCAATAGTTATAAGAAATATAGTTACAATATTTCTACTTGATTCAACCTACATTGTACATTAGTGTAGGTACATGTTATATCATGCATGTTATCCACTTTTCTACTAATGATAAGCATTTATAATGCATAACAATATCCATTCACACTTTGCTGATTGCATGTAAATTTTATGACCAATTTAACTTTGCATTAAAGGTGAATATTACTTCTGTAAAAYCAAACTCAATAGTTATAAGAAATATAGTTACAATATCTYTACTTGATTCAACCATTGCCTACATTGTACAAAGTGTGGATACATGTTATATCATGCATTAAATTAGTTATCCACTTTTCTACTAAGGATAAGCATTTATAATGCACAGCAATATTCATTCATGATATTTTGATATATGATATWTATTTCATGATAGTTAATGATTCATATTAGGGGGAGGTAAACACTCTGGTGGATTGTGGAATGTTGCTCTAATGGTCAAACTGCCTCTTTGAGGGAGCGATGCACGGCTTGCTGCAAACACAGCTGGATCAGCTCTTCTAGATATTTTAACTGTATCTAACCTTTCTAAACCACTAGCAGATGGCTTATTAAAGGAGGGCAATGGACCKACKTTATATCTTGTGTCTGATCCAGACCAGTAGAAAAATGGCAAGTCTGGATCAATCTTCTTTGTAAACTCATAGACAATTTTGGGGTAGTTATCCATAAAGGTCTTATGATCAAAGGTTTTACCAAGAAGTCTGTGTAGTATGGAAATGAATCCCTCAACATCATCAGTAGAGCTAGCTCGTGGATGTTCTGGGGGTAGATTACTAATGTGACATTGCAAACGTCGCAGTTCTCTACTTTCAATGTTTGCAATTAAGCCTACAATGATTTCTCTAGTGAAGCCACATATTCCTTTTAATGGCCTTAAAAAGAAACAATAAACATGACGATGTTATAGACAATGATTTGTGCTATTGCAATATATACTTGTAAAATAAAATAAGTCATAAGATTTTAAAAAAAGTGCAGAGGCCTAGCGTCAAAAATGTCAGTATTGTACCTTAAACAGTGAATTTCAMAACTGTTTCTTTAGAAACACTAGTGTCCATCATTTTCGCAATTTATATTGTCCAACTGATGAAGGAAAAATATACTATACCTATTTATGTCGATCTTTGAGAAATCTCTGTCATATGTATGCCATGGCATCCAGTCATCAAGTACAAAGCGTAGCATGTCATAGTTGTACTGGCATCTCTTGTCTTCGGTAAGCCCTCTGCCATCATTGGCTTTGTGCCAGTTACACACTGTTTTCAGATATGTCGCCTCTGTGTGATGTCCATTGTTGTTCATGTAATGCACCATAGCTGGGGAAAATATGCGTTCAACATCTGGAACATTTTGCTTTCTCTGACCAGTGAGAGCTGTGTAAGTGAGACCTGTTGCTGGGTCTTTTAGAGCTTGGACAAACCAACGCAGATCAACTGATGGCACAAGACCATTTCTTGTGCACATTCCAATCCGCTTTAGGATATGGTTATGGTCTTCCCTGTCATGGCAGCCATCAGGAACATAGAGGTGGTTTTTGAAGTCAACTCCTGTTGACGAATATACTGACACTTTATGACGATAAATATAGCTTGCCATCAAAGATTTCAAGCAATCAGCAGTTGTTTCTTGCTTTCCTTTAATGCAATAAAAAAGTAAAATTAACATTATTTTTATCACCAATTCATTCTACTGTGCCCTTTCAGTACCTACTATCCATGGATTGGGATCATGTGAGAAAGGGTAATGCTTCCTTCGTAAAATATGAATAGCAGAGTTGAACGAGCAAGGGCATCTTGGGTCATTCATAAATTCCCATAACCACTGAACATCTTCCATTGGGACTGCTGGGTGGTACCGTTGAGGTGCAATGTTACCTGTAGAGATTAAAAAGAAAATGAGTGAGGAACAAGATGTTTGCTGCAGCAGAATGTAGGGTTGCCTATATGCATCTTGAATAACATACCATTGACATTAATGGGAGTTAGATATTGTTTAATTGTGGCAGCTTTTGTCGATTTTGCTTCAGCTTTTGCATCCATTGCCAACTGGACTACTGATGTTGGTCTTGTGGACCCCTGTGTTCTTAAAGAGTTGAACTCTCCATCGGTCGAGAATCCTAAAAGAAATGAACACATACATAATCAATAAATGAAAATGGGCACTTTGCCATTGATAACAATTGTTGCATACATTTATCTAAAAATAAGTGCACCTAACAGTAATGCAGCAGTGTATTTGAGTTCTGATCACTTGAATACAGGTGTAGGTGGTTTTATTGCATATAACCAAGTGAGCCATTGAAACTTTAAGTGAGAAAGAGATACCTACCAACAACCACCATTCCCATTTTTTCCATGACATCTTTCAGTTCATCTTTTAGCTCTCTAAGTCTAGCATCAGTTATTGTGTGGTATGTCAGGATACGAACTGGAATTGCATATGGCTTCCTATTCCTTAACTCGTCACTTATCATGAAGATAAGGAGATGAGTAGCCACGTCACGTTTCTTTGTATAAATTCCCTTGATATACACTTCAAGTTCTTCCTTTATGAAGAACAACTTCTTCCCTTTTCCTTTGTTGTGAAGAATTTCCTCAATGACTGACAGGATGTGTGCATTTTTAGTTAGAAGTTTTTCATAGCCATCAACTTCCCAAGCAAGAGCAAAGAGAGAATCTTCACTAGCATTCTTCATTGTCCTTTTCATGTCATAACAATTCTGGGCAGTGTCTTTACCCTTCTCCAGAAAATGAACTTCCTCTTTCAGCCTTTCTTTCACACTGTTCAGATCCTCTGCTAACATACTCTTTCTAGTACCCTTTCCTAACTTCTGAACCATCCCCAATCTGCTTAAATATTCTTCATGTTGCCGCTGAACAATACCATCTCCAAGGTCAACATCTCCAGACCACTCTTTTTTCATTGATTCTCTTAGACCTTTTTGCATGTCTNGTATTAATATCAAAATTATTAAAAGCAATAACTTATCAAGGCAGGCCAATAGATTACACAGTTAGAAATGGATGCCACATTGACCTTCAGCTCTCTATATAAATATTTTCAATCATGCTGCGTAGAGAACTCTCCAATTCATATCATAAATGACTTTTTAACAATAAGAAGCATTTACCTGTATATCAGTACTTCTAGTAAATCCACTCGATGCAATTCGTCTTCTTATTGTACTTGTACTTGGACCTGCAATGTTTACCTTGGCCTAAAAAGCAAAATAGCTTTTATTTACAACAATAAAGCATTTTTAAATATCCGTAAAATGGTTCTAACCGGCCCATTTTTAAATTACTATTTTTTCGTCTTAACGGTCACGTGACCACTTTATGTCACAATTTTCACCAATAAACCATTATTCAGTCGAAATATGATTTCTAGAACAAATTTTAACTTTGTAGTTGAAAATGAAAGCAAGAAATTATTTTTTAAATTCAATTATTGAAATCCCAGGCCTTAACATGCTTGAGTGGCAAGGRTAGTAAAAAAMTTTTAACACACTAGAATATTTTTACCAAATAATGACACTGCAGAATAACATGCAAGGACTTGATTATAAAAAAGCACTCACTGTAAGAGGGTCTTTCTTAATACTTCCTCCAGACGACTTCCCTTGTGGACGAACTTCAAATCGTTCTTCTAATTCTCGATGGGATATTTGTGCTTCTTGGAGCTCAGCTATATCACTGTTAGTCAGGCCAGACCAGAGAGTACTTACTGGACTTCTTACTGTGACAAATTCAGAAGATTTTCTAGAATCTAAACTAGTATTATCATGGTTTCCAACTGGACATTCTGCAGTTCCATCAATCTCTTCTAGAGCCAGAGGTGCTGATGTAGATTTACTGTCATCTAAACTAGTATTATCATGGCATGATGGGGGATTTCCACTTGGGCATTCTGTTGTTAAATCAATCTCTTCTAGAGCCAGAGCTGTTGCARCAATGTCATTATCAATGGGTGTTGGAGACTTAACACTAGAATCCTTGACAGTAGATTCTACTTTTTCTTGTAGTAGTTCATCATGACACCAGTGCGGCCCAAGGTGAAGGGTTGYCCATTGGTTTCCAAAATGAGTATACATTGTTGTCATCCAAGACATATAATCTTCARGAATCTTGATGTTACCAGAGGATTCTGATGCAAAAAATTTGCAATTATATGCAATCAWACCAAATGGCATTTGGTTCAAAGGCATCCGGGTTTCACTACCATTCTTTTGTAGACATTTTGCCAAATGGAGTATCACATTTTCTTTTCCGCTGTCCTCAAGGTTTTTCATGGCTTGTCCRCACAGTTCTAAAAAGTTTGATGACACAAATGACTTCACTGCAACCAGTTCAATGTCCTCTTTAAGGAAAATTTCAAACATCAGCTGCATTAAGGTCAGCCTTTGTCTTTTGGTTAGCTTCAGATAACTACTTTTTATTAGTTCAATTATTTGCCCAGGTCGTGGATCTTCATCTTGTAAGTGTTTGCAAGGAGAGTTAGTTTCTTGTGCTTCTACATCATTCATATAATCAATATTAAAAGCATCTTCAGCCTCTTGGATATTCTTGTATTTCTGTCTAAGTAAAMGTATTACTTTGTCACGACATGCATTACCTGTTGAAATAAGATAGAGATTTATTGAACAACGACCTATAAAGCCTTTTTCCTTTTTTAYGTTTWTACAGTGCTTTGCTGATGTTCAATGCAYACTGAATAGCAGAGTAACCTTTGATGAGGACATACTTCAATTTTCATTGAATTGTTTTTGCATTGAAAATGTGTGGGAGGGTTTCTATTGTTAAATTGAAATCAAGTTTATAACTTGTGTTTTCTTTTACCTGAGCGAACCCATTTATTCTTTGTGGCTTGTGAAACTGCTTTGCCACACTGCTCCCAGAAGTACTTGTTTTTGTGAGTTGGCCAAGTATGATCAAATGAATAAAGAGCGACATACTTGACCAACTCCTTCAGCTCACCATCCGACCAAGGGGCAGGCTTTGTTGGCTGATGTTCTTTATCCTGAAATGAAGTTTAAGTTTTATCAGCAATTTCTCACCGAAAAAAAATAACTGTGAACAACATAAAAGCCCATTGATCAATCAAGTAGTTCTAAATGATAATATATCAAATACTGTATAAGACATAAAAAATGTATAATAAAAAATATTTACCTTATTTCCTGTTTCTGTAAATAAGCTTTTTCTTGATGACCTGCCACTTGTTGATTTTTGTGGTGGTTTTCCTGGCGTATTGCCTGTTTCTACATGGGTTCGTTTCCCTGTATTTCTTCTAAATTACAAAAAAAATGGCCCAAAGTTTACTTTCGGTTGCCAATGATTTWACAACGTCATTTTTATAGCTCACAGATGTCAGAAAAACCCTAATGACTACATTATTTYKKYATTAAAGCTCAGATGTATCACTGAAATCATGTGTCAAAAATGCATCGTAAATATCAAAAATGGCGCCTATTTGCTTCATATTCAACTGTTGATATCTTCGCACAGGCCAGAGGTGGGATGGGGTGGGATAAAAGTTTCGAGATTTTTGGACTTCTATCTTCGCAATCAACGTGATTCTATTCATGACTTGTGTCTTCAATGGTCTTTTCTAAGACGTCTTTTGTATGGCCTTCATTGTCTTCGCGATCGTTAAGCTATTCAAATGTTGATTGTTTGAATTTTAATTGCGGCAGTAATAATCGCTTACCTGTTCTGACTTTTCATCACGACATAGTAGAGGTGTTGTTCCGTTTCATTTGATCTTTTGATTTGATGTGGAATCAAATCTTTATCGTTTTTTTTTAGAAGTTTTAAACTCTTGTTCTGTCTCGAAGTGAAATTGCGCCTCTCAAATATTGAACCTTGTGATTGGTTTAAAACGTCACGTGACTAATGCTCAACCTCCTCTGTTGTTGGATTAAGCATCTGAAAACGTGTTACTAACAAAGTAGTTTGAAAGCATAACCAACCCCCCAAAAAATGTTTAATGATAAATATTATAATTTCCTGTGTATATACAGTGGTTGTAGCTAGCCTCATTAGCGGGTAACTCTATTCCATGGGATTCCTGTGTTAAGGCAGAAAATTTACCAGAGGGGGGAGGGGTTAGGAAGGAAGGAAAGGCAGCTGGTAGAGTTGTTCCTGTTCTCTTAGCACAAGTTTTTGGTCAGGATAAATCAACATGGAGAGAAAAAATCGATTTCCTTAGGAGTAGCATATGCAAAGGAAGCTAGTTTGTAGCTTGACTGTTTTTTTTTTCTACTCCATAAAATCCATGAAATATCATTTTACAGACAAGAATCCCAAAGGTCCAGATAACAGAAAGTTTTATATTGATACAAACATGATGACAGTACCAAGAGAGGGTGTAGAGATACAGACTCCCATTAAAGATGGCATGAGTGAGTTTGATTAGATTTTAATTCGTGACATTCC